CTGTCTACGTATGAAATCCATTAAAATGCAAGAGGGCGACAGCTGGGAAAAGTGAACCAGGGCAAATATTATCATAGCTCGACGGAGGATACCTGTAATGTGCTCATGTAAGCGATTGAATATTCTCCTCAACGCGCACGGACTCGAAACGAGCTTTGAACTAACTCAGTGCAGATAAACAAGTCCAAATTCATATCAAAATGGGCAAACAAGGCATATCACTGAAAATATCGGAAATAAAGTACTTAAGAACTGTTATCTGTTACGCGAGTACCCCCGGAAAGCGATTAAAAGTCTCCGAGACAAATAAGGTGTAAATTTTCTTTTGCTCATAGTTTGGTTAATTTACGGTGCGACAAACCGTAATTAAGTTCGGTCGAGCCTGAATTCAATACCGACTTCCCATTATTTTTTAAACACAGCAAGTGTATTGAATATTGTATAGAGGCTAGGAAAATACAAAACTCAGTGTTAAAGGTGTTTTGCCAATCTAACGATCGGGTGTATACTTTATTGTTACAAAAAGTGGAAAATATTGAAGTCAAGAACAACACGGCAGTGAGCCAAGATGTCCGCAAAGGAACACTGATCAACGATGGAACTCGGATTGACCAACATTTATCACACTGCAGGAAGTTTTAGTTTTTGAAAACAGAATTGTAAGTACTGTATTTCTTAAAAAATATCAGTATTTTTAAACGAATGCCTCACTTTAAGGGATTGCAAAAAAACTTTGACGGCATTGCTGTTTCTGCAGTAGGAACTAACAATTTGCCTTGAATGGCCCGTCTTTCCATTCGCACAAACGTACAGTTTCAGTAAATGGCCAAAAGAGCGAATTCGGGAAAAGAAATAGGACGTTTGTTTGTACGCGAACTTCATTACTTTTATTGAAGGATGTAACCCATTGTATGCGAAGGATCAAACAGATATTTCTTTTTGGAGATAAAGAGAGGAAGCTTAAAACTGAACAGATGGTTTTGTGTGTGATTTTGTGTCAGGGCCATGTTTGTAATGAAACTGAGTTTTACTTTTCATTTCTTTATTTCACGTCAATAATAGGTTTTCAACCGAAGTGCAGTCAATATTTGTCGTGAAAGCCTTCTGCAAAATGACTCAGCCGACTTCGGAGAGTTCCCCGGAGCCAACGGGAATTGAAGCCGAATATGCTAGTCCCGAGCAAGAATCGATATATGGGGGCAGAGCCGAAACAGCAGCCGAACCCCAGCCCGAGTGGACGACGGCAGTAAATCAATGGGGTATCGCCTGGGATTTTCATCAATACGGCATCGGGGCGTGTTTCGGGTTGGTGGGTATGTTAGCTCTCGTATCATTCGTGAGAATGCTAATAACCAACAAAGGAACGCGACAGAAGAAAGTGTCCCTCGTGGTCTTGAGCCAGATTATCTTATTCGGTTTCTCACGATGTATTTTCTTGTGCGTCGATGCTTATCACTCGAAGAAACACATTCACATCACGGTGCTGAATTTAATCTGGGGACTTGGCCAGCCGTCGTTGGTAACAGCGTTTATGCTTATATTTCTGGTCTTGAGGAACGCTCTGATGATGAAGGCGAGGTTTCAAACTTGGTACACGACGCGAAACATAGCTCTTGTTACTGTTCCCTACTTTACTTTCGTCTTTGCATCCGAGGTGGTCGTTTCTTTGATGCCATCCTACAAAGCCTTAATTTTTGCTTGTCAGATGATCAACACGCTGTTATACCTAAGCTTGGCTTGCTTCTACGTTTTCATTTCGCTTCTGATCCGGAAAAAATTACGCTTGGTTCGAAACGGCCTTTCAAATACGCGTACAAGAGGGCAGCAAACTTTGTCGATCTTAAAACGCTGCGTGGGCGCCTTTGTTGGGGGTTTTAGCATTGCTGTCATGCACGTCTACTCTATGACAGGCGTCTACAGCGTTTTTTCCAACGTCCAACACGTTGCCGTGTGGCCGTGGTTCGCTTTCAACACGTCACTGCGTTGTTTGGAGTTAGGAATGTCTGTGTTGTTGTACACGATGGGAACGGAGAATCCCGCAAAGCGACCGAGAAAGATCGACGTTGCACCGCTGACATTGATACAGTCAAAGTAAGAAGGCGACTTCGGAAGAAAGCCTAATGCTTTATACAGTGTCAGAAAAACAGCGTCGTTCAACACAGAACTTCCATTTAAGGCGCCGGGGCGCACATCGACACTACTTACGAAGTTGGATTAATCCTAAGACGGTTTTATCGGCATTGACGCCACAATACTGGTATCCAAGAAATGATCAAACTACACTATGAGAGATCGGAAAAGTTAAACTACCTTTTTGAACCAAGTAACCATAGCAACAGTATAACCTCATCAAAAAATACCCTTAATACAGTCTTCTAGTTCTTCTAACTCAAAAACTAGTTCGGTGACCTTCATTTTTATCATGGAATTCTAGTCAGCTCGTTAAGAAAACACAAAAAAGAGATTAAGGCTTGAGGTGTTTCAGAGCAACCTTAAATTTTCCAAAAGTCCCTCTTTTCGCTTGAGGAAGGCTCTGATGTCATTACATTTAGAGATTTCTTTCATCTGTTTCACCAACCAACAACTACTTGTCACCATAATCAAGCAAAGTAAAAAGAAACACCAACTAAAGTCAATCTTATTCATATATATTTTATTGTTGCATAAATATTGAATTCATTTTCACCTTTGAAGCATAAGAGAAGATGAACAGAAAGTTTCCCCTTGGTTTTAAATTTCTCTTTCAGTGTTTAAACACTTGAAGCTTTGCTAACATTCGAATTTTTTCTTTCGTGCGCCGAACGCGTAGTTTCGCGCGGGACCCTCACATGCCGGTCGCGAGTGTAAAGCGTCACTCAGCGTCAGGCTCAATCTTTGAGTCTCGCTTTCCGTTTTCACACCCGCTCCAGACCGATTTAGCGCAGTCATGACCAATGAAAAGACATGGCTATTTAGCAGTGTCGACCTTTGTTATTTGCAACTCCATAAGTTATCAGTAGAATGGGTAAAAGCCGTCTGGGATCGCTTGGGTGAAGAAGCATTAGTTTGACTGGTTCGTGGTTGCCCCTGGATACCATTAACCAATTAAAACTAACACTTCTCCACCCAAACAACCCTAGAAATCATTGCGCTAAAAGCTTGTACTCATTCTCCCGATAGTTTATAGAAAGAGGTGAAGTTTATCTTTCTGAATATTTTTGAAGTTTTAGGTGGACGTTGCATTTAGAGTATACAGCAACAAACATGAATGAAGTGTTATTAAAACCACAGGGAAAGTTGCTTAGGCTTCACTTACAAAATAAACAAGTGACAGTTACGTTGCATTAATGTTCAGGCTCTCAACAAAGCATTAACCACGGCCTTGACATTAAGGCTTTTTAGGTCGCTGTACGTTTGTCCTGTGCCCACAAACACAATTGGCTGGCCAGTGGTGTATGTCATGGAGATAGCAGCGCCAACCTAGCAGTCATAAAAAAAACCCGCTCACACGTTGATCGCATAATACCGTAAATCCTCTATTAAGTCCCCTGGGGGGGCTTATTTATTTCAAGCCCATTTGAGGGGCGAGGGGGGGCTTAATAGAGATGGAGGGGCTTATTTGATTTACAAACGAAGATGGTATCAGTTCTCCATAAAGAACTAGAATACAATGTGGAAAAGCTCAAGTACAAGCCGACGATTGGAGGTCACGCAGCCGAGGATCAGAATCAAATCCGAACTTCGAGTTGGTAAATAAACCATTCCGGGTCAGTCCACACGAAGTCTTACAGTCGTGATTGATTAATACAGTCTATCATTAACTTATTTTATTAGCGAAGAATAATTAGGGAAGGGAAGGGGAGGGGAGGGGAGGGGAGGGGAGG